CCCTTCCTCTCCCCATCCTACCCTCCCTCCCTCCCTCTCTCTCTCCTTGCCTCCCTCCCTCTCCAACCCTCCTACCCTCCCCCTCCTACCCTCCCTCTCCCCTCCTACCCTTCCTCTCCCTCCCTCCCTCCCTTCCTCTCCTCCCTCCCTTCCTCTCCCTCCCTCCCTCCCTTCCTCTCCTCCCTCCCTTCCTCTCCTCCCTCCCTCTCTCAGCGAACTGCCTTTAAAGGAACGCCCGAGCCACGAAGGTCTCGGTCAGCGGCAGAGTAACACCAAGGACGACAACTTTAAATGTGACAACACCGCGGCCACAGGAATCGGGAGGGGGAGGGGGGAGGAGAGAGGGGAGGGGAGAGAAGGGGAGAGGAGGGGAGAGGAGGGAAGGGGAGAGGAGGGAGAGGAGGGAGAGAAGGGGAGGGGAGGAGAGAGGAGAGGAGGGGAGGGAAGGAGGCAAGAAGAGAGGGAGGGAGGGTTGAAGAGGGGGAGGGAGGGTAGGAGGGAGAGAGGAGAATAATATGCGGGGGGAGGGAAGATAGGAGGGAGAGAAGGATGGGAAGAGTGAGAAGGGAAGAGTGAGAAGGGAAAGGTGAGAGGGAGAGGAGATAGGGAAGGCAGGGAGAAGAGAAGAGAAGAGGAGAAGAAAGGGAAGAGGGAGAGGGGGAGAGAGGGAGAGGGAGGGAGGGAGGGAGAGAGAGAGGGAGAGGGAGGGAGGGAGGGAGGGAGAGGGAGAGAGAGAAGAGGGAGAGGGAGGGAGAGAGAGAGAGAGGAGAGGAGAGAGAGAGGAGAGAGAGAGAGAGAGAGGGAGGGAGGGAGGGAGGGAGGAGAGAGAGAGAGAGAGAGAGAGAGAGAGAGAGAGAGAGAGAGAGAGAGAGAGAGAGAGAGAGAGAGAGAGAGAGAGAGAGAGAGATCCAAGAAAGGAGAGCGGGGGAGCGGCCGCGTGCGCGTTTCCGGATTCCTTTAGACACTGCCTTGGAGTAGGAGAATTAAGCGAAATGCTATTCGCTGCTTCGCCTTTCCGTTTGTCTCTCCGTTGCTAACTTTTATGCAGTGTTGCTAGTACGTTGCAGCGCGCGTGGGAAAGGATGGTTTCTGTTGCTAGTACGTTGCACCGCGCGCGGGAAAGTTTGGTTTCTGTTGCTAATATGTTGCAGAGCGCGTGGGAAAAGTTGGTTTCTGTTGCTAATACGTTGCAGCGCGAGTGGGAAAAGTTGGTTTCTGTTGCTAATACGTTGCAGCGCGCGTGGGAAAGGTTGGTTTCTGTTGCTAATACGTTGCACCGCGCGCGGGGAAGGTTGATTTCTGTTGCTAATATGTTGCAGCGCGCGTCACAAAGGTTGGTTTCTGTTGCTAATATATTTATTTGCAGCACCCTTGGAACAGATTCCCCTCCACGGTTATCTTAATTATTTTGTTTATTCCTTTATTTATATCTATTCAATATTGCAGAGCGCGTGGAAAACATTACCTGTTGTTTTTTCTTATCTTTTTTTTCAGAGCATGGAACAGATTCCTTTTCATTTTCATTTAATTTCATTTTTTAATTTTATTCATTTATTTATAAATATATTTTTACAGCGCGCGTGGAACTCTTCTTTTTTTTTCTTTACTTTTTTTTTGTCTACCACTGTTCTTTCATTTCATTTTTTATTCCTATTTTTTCAATTTTTTCCCCCCATTTACCCATTTGCTTTACAGCTTGCCTCGGGTTGTTCGGCCAAATACCCGGATTTCACGAACATTTAGCTGCATAATTATCCGAAAATGACTTCGTATTCCCACCGGAAATTCACTGTATCCGAGGCAGCGAATCCGATGCCTTTATAAACGAAGAAATTTATTATTCAACAATAAGCCGGTAGCATGGAGATTCCCAACCCAGGCATGTTTTAACAATACGATATTATAAAGATGTATTTATAAAAGGGACCTATACAATTCTAATAAGCAAACAAATAAATTAATAGATAAATAAAGAGGGTGCAGTCCCATTCGAGAGAGAGAGAGAGAGAGAGAGAGAGAGAGAGAGAGAGAGAGAGAGAGAGAGAGAGAGAGAGAGAGACAGAGAGAGCGACAGAGACAGAGACAGAGAGAGCGACAGAGACAGAGACAGAGAGAGAGAGAGGGAGAAACGTAAAACAATAGAAATTACAAGAGCGCAATTTCCGGGCCAGCAGAGTCGAGATCAGGAACCACAGAACCTAAGGGAAGCTGCCGGTTTGTCTCCGCTCACAAACCCTCACTCACGCTCGCCGCAGGGAAGGGGTGTGTGTGGGAGAGGGGATAGGGGAGGGAGGGAGGGAGGGAGGGAAAGAGGGAAGGGAGGGAGGGAAAGAGAGGGGGAGAGGAAGGGATGGGGAGGGGAAGGAGGGAGGGAAAGAGAGGGGGAGGGGAAGGGATGGGGAAGGGAGGGAGGGAGGGAGAGAGGGAGGGAAGAGGGAGGGATGGGGTTAAGGAAGAAGGGATGAAGGAAGGAGAAGAAGGAGAGAAGGGGATAGGAAGGGAAGAAGGGGAGGTGGAGGGAAGAAGGGAGGAAGGGTGGATGGATGGTGGGAGGGAGAAGAGAGAGGGGGCTAGACCGGGATAAAGTGAATGGTATATAGAGGAGAAAAGGAAGAGAGAGGGTAAGGGAGAGGGTGACTCATAAATAGATAGATAATGGGAAAAGGAAAACTAGATAGATAAAAGACGAAGAGGGAAAGGAAGAGAGAGAGAGAGAGAGAGAGAGAGAGAGAGAGAGAGAGAGAGAGAGAGAGAGAGAGAGAGAGAGAGAGAGAGAGAGAGAGAGAGAGAGAGAGTCCGCCCGCGAGAAGCAGTTCTCAGTTCCTCCCAGAGCTGAGGAAGCAACGAACACTTACAAGTAACAGGAAATCTCGACAGCTTCCTCTCCTTCTTCTCCCTCCTTCCCTCCGTCCCTCCCTCCCTTCCTCTCACCCCCTCCCCCTTCTTGATGGACTTCCTGTCATGCGCTGTGAGATTCGAACCGATGTGGTCATACTCTTCTTATAATCCCAAGTATATCATATGCCCTCCTAAGGATTACTCAACCCCTCCACGCTATACCCATTAAGGAGCTTCTGAACACTCTTACCACTTACCCCTTGTGCAATGTCCCTTTGCAATGCTCTCCGATACTCTAGAGCCATCTCCGATCAATGACATGAACACGAGATCAGTTTTGTTCATCGTTTGTAACTTCTCAAACATCGTTCTTGCGTAACCTGGATTACTTATGACGTTAAGACCACTCTCGGGGATGACTCTGTACCATTAACTAATAATAACTTCTCAGAATCATAAGGTATTCATATCTGTAACAAGGATTCTCCGCGTCACCAGATAATAGGCTATCGTCCATGATTGAATAAGCTTTCTTGAAGATACTTCCAAGAATCCCTGATACTGCCATACTTATCCTTACATACTACCAGTCCCTATCCTCTCGCTTTCACTAGGGCGATTATCCCACATTATCCGCCGAGATTCTCCATCGTCACCAATACGGTTTTCTCCAGCGCTGCCCTTGAATTAATCTCCAACACTGTCCTTGACGATCTTCCGATACTTTTACTCGGTGATACTCCACGATCCTGGATTTTTTTTCAGTACTAGCTTTCCAAACCATCCTTACTGCTTCTCCAGGGACTATCATTAGTGATCCTCCAACACTACCCTCAATCCTTCGCCATAGCTGTCCTCATCAAATACTATATTTTTGTTCAATTCTCCAACAATGTTCTTGGTGATTCTCCAGTTCTATCTTTGATTAGCAAGATCCTTGATCCTTCTTCAAATACCATCCTCGGCGATCCTCCAGCACCCTCCCGCGTCATTCTCCAACACTACCCCCAGTTATACCGCAACTCTCTCTTAGGAAATCCTCCGGGACTAGGTGATCCTCCAACACATTCTGGGGTTCCAAGTATTCTTCCAGGTTACCCTCCAACACACTCGATGACCTCCAGCTTTAGCTTCTAACATATCCCTCGACGTTCTTCCGGCACTCCCCACTTTCCCCCTCACTTCCCTTTCCCCTCCCCCTTCTTTCCCCTTTCCTTTCCTTTCCTCCTCCCCCTTCTTTCCCATTCCCCTTCCCCTCCCCTTCCCCTTCCCTTCCCCCACCCCACCCCACTCCCCCCACCACCTGTAAGAACACGACCACGTTGCCGCTCCCTCCCACGGCCCATCTTTCGACGGGTCCCGGTTAAAGCTGATTCCTCATCGCGCTCTCCTCGCAATCTCCAGCTGACGTGCTCGCGCCGCCTGTTTGTTTCTTTCCCTTCGGCTCAGGATTCTCTCTCTCTCTCTCTCTCTCTCTCTCTCTCTCTCTCTCTCTCTCTCTCTCTCTCTCTCTCTCTCTCTCTATTTCCTGTTCCTTCTTCTTCTTCTCTTTCTCTGTTTCATGGTCTGTCGGCCGGTGTGTCTGTCTACCTCATGGTCTGTCTGTCTGTCTCATGGTCGGTCTGTCTATCTCATGGTGTGTCCATCTCATGGTGTGTCCATCTCATGGTCTGTCTATCTCCTGGTCTGTCTATCTCCTGGTCTGTCTATCTCCTGGTCTGTCTGTCTATCTCATAGTCTGTCTGTCTTTCTGTCTACCTCATAGTCTGTCTGTCTGTCCATGCATTCCAAGGGCCAACACACTAAACCCATCTTCCGCAGTGCTACAAAATCGCATTACCAAAAGAGCTGACTGTCCTCAGAGCCACAGTATATCCTCTTCTACCAATCCGTCACTTTGAGATCCGTAACACAACCTAAGCCAACAGCCCATTAAACCGCAGGGGATCCAAAGAATATCCTTTACAGCAAACTCTTATAACACAGCAGCCATTAAGCACTCACACACCCATTACCCGCAGAGGATCCACACTCATACATATATGTGTATAGTGTGAATAAATATATACATATATATATATACATACACACATATACAGCACTATACCACCCCCCCTCCAGCCCAGCCCCAAAACCAAAACGCGCCAAAGGCCTCCACTCACGCAGCAGTAGTCGTCGCCCACATAGCAGAGGTCCCCGGAGGCGGAGGTCGGGCACCACAGATGGTCCCCGTTGATGGCTCCTTCCGCCCAGTCGCAGGTGGAGCGGAGGACGCGGCGCTCTCCATTCTCACACTGTATCTCCACCTCAGAATTAATCGCCTTCCTGTAAAAAACACAACAATGGAAGGGGTTAGCACGGGAGGATGGGCGACTGTGCCTACGGGTTAAGTGATGAGTGAATACACAAAAAAAAAGAAGAAAAAAAAAAAAAATGGATGGAGAGATAAATTAAGTACATGTTAAGTAATAAGTACGTAAGTAATAAGTACGTAAGTATGTATGTAAATAAAAGGACACGTTAAAGACATGGTTTGGGGGAAAAAAATGACACCATCGTCATCATTATAAGTGTAGTAAACCATGCGGGGGGGATTTTAAAGAACACCTAGGCAGTAACAATGGTTCAAGAAAAAAAAGAAAGAAAACAAAAATATGAGTGACTAAAAGCCAAAACTATCATCATGTAACCTCAGAAAACTCGAATGGGGGGGGGGGGGGGGCGGAACTTGAAACCGAGAGGGGGGGGGTGGGGTGGCGGAATCAGAGATAAAGAAATAATCAAAGTTGCAAGAACAAGCACTAAGACACGCGGGGTTCTCTCTGGCAGGCCGGCAGATGCAAGCAGAATTTGTCATGAGCCAAGGAGGGGGGGGGGGGGGACCGAGCTTCCGCCTTGCACGCAATCTCTCTTTAAGGTCAGGCCACGGGGGATGGGGGGGGGGTCTCATTTCCTTAAATTTACTTTGCTGATTATTACCATTACCTGCTTCATCATCTGTTATTATGGTTATTATCATCACTATTTCTTAATTAAATATTCTATTTCTTGACAATTTAAAATTCTCTTGTCAGGCCAGTAGGAGGTAGTGGGGGGAGGGAGGGAGGGAGGGAGGGAGGGGAGAGGAGTGGATAGGAAGGTAGGGAAGGAAGGAGGGGAAGGGAAGGGAGGGAGGAAAGGAAGGAGGGAGGAGAAGGGAAAGGAGGGAAGGAGGAAGGGAGGGAGGAAGGGAGGGGAAGGGAGGAAGGGAGGGGAAGGGAGGGAGGGAGGGGGAAATTGCCCTACAATGCAAAAGATCAAAATGTCTTCCCTCGCTGGGCATGCTGAAATGTTGCAAGCGGAGAGTATGTGTATTGCAGCCTTACCTTTCTTATAAAATATTTACAATAAAAAAAATCTAGTCAAAGTTCAGCTGGAGAAGAGGGGGGAAAAGATCAAAGCAAAAATAAACTTCAGAAAGTCAAATTATTAATGTGTGTGTGTGTGTGTGTGTGTGTGTGTGTGTGTGTGTGTGTGTGTGTGTGTGTGTGTGTGTGTGTATGTGCATATTCATATATATATATATATATATATATATATATATATATATATATATATATATATATATATATATATATACATATACATATACATATACATATACACACATATATATATATATATATATATATATATATATATATATATATATATATATATATATATATATATATATATATATATACATATACATATACATATACATATACATATACATATACATATACATATACATATACATATATATATATATATATATATATATATATATATATATATACATACATATATACATATATATATACACACATGTATATACATATATATATACACATATGTATATATGTATATATGTATATGTGTATGTATGTATATGTATATGTATATATATATATATATATATATATATATATATATATATATATATATATATATATATATATATATATATATATATATATATATATATGTATGTTTGTGTGTATGTATCTCTTTATACAAATATTTTTTATTCATTTACATATATTTACATTCCTGTGTATGTGTTCGTATGCGTGTACAGACACTAGGGAGGCCCTGTGCAGTCGGGCCAGTGTCTTTAAGGGCGCTTTTGACTGGTGACAAATTGACTCAAATCCGAGCTGATACCAAACAGTAATCGATGTTCCTTCTTTCAGAATGTGCCTCGACAAAGATATCAAAGTCCCCTACGATGCATTAAACTGTTGTTATCTGCCTTTTTACACCACAAAGCTTAGATAAAAAAAATATATATATATCTGAAACCCCAATCCCGTGACTTATCACTAAAATTAAACCCGCAGGCACATTCATCTGGCAACTCTGTGATTGATATTGCCATAAATGACATTACAGAGTTGAGCCTAAATATTTCACTTGGCAGAAAATTTCATTATCATTAAGCCGATTAAACAAGGCTGATATATATGACAAGTTAATATATAATTACTGCTTTGACGTCAATATTAATTGATTTGGGAATGAATCGATGTGCTAGTTAGTCAGTCCATTAGTATAATGTACAATAGAAACACCGAAACAATAAGAAAGTGAATGAAAATAAGCATGTGTCATTACTGTTTAAAAATATGTAAACCATGTCCTTTATCTATATAAAAAAAATCCTGTCTGGATATTACCTTTTCTTCGGTTTACCCCCAAAAGGAGTTTATTGCTGAAAATATTTTCTTTACATTTACTATGTGAAAATAACGGCTATGACAAACGAAGCGGAATAATAATAACAAGAATAACCAAGACAAGAGGAGGGAGGAAGGTGTGGAGCATGAGGAGCGGCATGCAGGCCAACATACTTTTGCGCCTTGGGCGAGGTCACCACCACCTTGTAGTCACCGTCTTCCTCGGTCGGTAATTCGATGTCGATGCTCTTGGAGCGGAGGGACTTGGGCGGCTCGAGGGACACGGAGCGCGTGAGGCCCGTCGTGTTGGACTTGAGCAGCTCCTCGGGCTTCGGGAAGCTGGCGAACGAGATGTCGAGGGAGGCGGCGCGGTCCCGCCTCGTCGGCACCTCCAGGAACACGTCCGTCACGCTGCCCTCCTCCCCGTGCCGCTGCTCCGCCCCTGCCCCTCGGCCCCTGTGCGGCGCGCCCAGCTCCCCCGCCTGCTCCCCGGCGTGCTCCTGCGCGTGCTCCGCCGCCTGCTCCCCGTCGCCGTACTCGCTCGAGGAGCCCAGGTACAGGAAGGAGCCGTGGTGGCTGTAGCCTCCGTCGCTCAGGTCGAAACTGTTTTCTTGCGAGCTGAGCTCTGTGCTGGTGTTCATGTGGAAGATGGCGGGCTGCCGCTCCAGCTTGGGCGACGCCGTCTTGTTGCGCGGGGAGGACGCCGTGGACGCCGGCAGCGAGACCTCCTCCTGCGTGGGCGACGCCGACGACGGCGAGTTCGGACTCAGCGTCACCTTGATCCCGCAGATGACTTCGTGCAGCTCGTCGCTCGAGCTGTCCTCGTCCCAGTCCTCCTCGTCCTCGTCCTCCGCCTCCTCCCGCGAGCTATCGAGGCTGCTGACGAAGTCCAGCGACATGTTATACGGGATTCTTCTGCCGTCGCAGTCGCACCGCCGGGACAGCTCCTCCAGGTACACGCAGTGCACGCACTGCTGGCTGGCCTTGTCGAGCGAGGAGGGCCGCGAGCTCCTCTTGCGGGAGGAGGCGAAGGAGTCGTCGACGTCGCCGCAGCCCGAGTCGAAGCTCTTGGACCGCTTGGGGCCCAGGTAGGGCACGCGGAGCAGGAACGACTGTCGCTCCGCCGGCGAAGAGGACGACGACGAGGACTCGCGGCGGCCCGGCTTGAGCTGCATTTCGTCGAATGAGGCAGAGCGGATCTGCGGCGGCACTTCCAAGCTGTTCTGCTGCTTCATCTCGGCGCCCGTGGGCGTCCGAGACCGCATAAACGTGTGCCGCAGCTTGGCGATGTTCATGATGGGTCGTGGGCGCGGGGCGTGGGCGCGTGTCACGTGGGTCGCCGGGGGGCGATCCTCCCCTGGGGGTCGTGGACGCCCCAGGGGCTCCTCACAAGGACCACGTCACCCCGCCCCTCTCCGGGCTTCCCCTGGCGCCAGCCCCTGTCGGTCAACATCCCATTAGAATTAGCAGTTACGCCCTCACGAGGAGCGACCGTTCCTCATCTTGCTTCGTGATCGTGTGCGGGAAACAGTGATTCGGAAAACGCACGCACACACACACAAATACACACACACACACACACAATGCCTTCTCTCACAGAAGAGACAGACAGTTCCAGAATACCTTTGGAATTTACATAGGGAGCACATTCCCCAAATCCAGCGCTATATGACAGCATTCCCCAATCCGGCTATAAGGTCGCTAGCCCGAGGCCGAATAGCCAATCCCAATGCCGATTTATACGAAGGATTTCTTTGTTACGGAAGTATGACATGCGCCCTTGTTCTATTCACGAAGGAGTCGCATGAGACAACACTTTCTGGGTCGATGTAGTTTAGCCCTCACAATAAACGGAGAAATAAGTAAAGAAATAAACAAATCAATTAGAATAAATCATTTGAAAAAAAAAACATCAGCACACCTTTTCTCGGAACCTCATAACGCTCATAAACTGACTTAAGACGTAAAACAGACCCATTTGTATTTCCCATTCGCGCAAAACACACCCACGCCTTCCTCATTGCCAGGCATTGCATGTGCAAATATCTTATGAGTCGAAATAATAATAACAATGATAATAATAATAACGATGATGATGACGATAATGATTTTGATGATGATGACGATAAACAAATAAACAAAATAAACAAACAAATAAACACCCACAAAACCAAATACACAAACAAACAAAGAAATAAACAAATACAAAATTGGCCAAGGAGAAACCCTCTCTCCCAACGCCCCGACGTCGAGCATCGGCATCGGCAGCAGACATCCGTATCGGCGGTTTGGATCATCAACATCCTTTCCAATTCCACGTGAAAAGAGCCGGGGCGAGAGGCCCGGGGGGGGGGGGGGGAGAGGAGGAGAAAGAGGAGGAGGAGGAGGAAAGGATGGATGAAGAAGAGGAGAAAGAGGAGGAGGAGGAAAGTATGGATGGAGGAGAGGCCCGAGGGGAGGCAAGGAGGTAAAGATGGGTGGAGAAGAAGAGAAAGAGGAGGAGGAGGAGGAGGAAAAGATGAATGGAGAAGAAGAGAAAGAGGAGAAAGAGGAGGAGGAGGAAAGTATGGATGGAGAAGAGGAGAAAGAGGAGAAGGAGGAGGAAAAGATGGATGGAGAAGAGGAGAAAGAGGAGAAAGAGGAGGAAAGGATGGATGGAGAAGAGGAGAAAGAGGAGGAGGAAAAGAAGGATGGAGGAGAGGAGGAGGAGATAAAAGCGGGCGAAAGTCGAGGTTAACCCCAGCCTCCATAATTCAGATACATATCGCATATGCATAACCTTAATGGCTCTCCCACCTTCCACGCGGCAAAGGAAACAAGGCTTGAGGAGCAGGGAGAGAGGGGAGGGAAAGGAGGGGGAGAGAGAGGGGAGGAGGAGGAGGGAGAGAGAAAAGAGGAGGAAGGAGGAGTAAAACGCTAGAGAAAGAGAGAGTGAGGGAGAGGGAGGGAGGGAGGGAGGGAGGGAGGGAGGAGAGGAGAGAGAAGAGAGAGAGAGAGAGAGAGAGAGAGAGAGAGAGAGAGAGAGAGAGAGAACGAGGAAGACAATAAAACATAGAACGAGATGGAGAAGAAGACGAAAATAAAGAGACAGAAAAAAACGAGAGGGAAAAGGAAAAATGACAAGCAACAAAAACCAAAACGAAGAGAATAGAAAAAAAAAAACTTCACTAGAACACACCCACCCGGAAGAAGCAAGACAAAAGAGTGACATTCAAGAGGGCGTAATTGCAAACAAACAAGATTAACAGTGGAAAAATGGGCCTTAAGCAGCTGTGCCGAGTGAACACACAACTAGGCCTATTTCGTGTTCAGGAGGCGAGCGCTCCTTCCGCCTTCACAGTCGAGGATGAGAACAAACAGCATCCTTTGAGGAATATAGGGATTTTGTGGGCATATTGCTTCTCATTATATTTTCATGCGTGGGCAGTATGTGTGGCTATTTGCATACAATGATAAATACATGAATGTCTATGTATTCACGAACGTATGTACGTATATATGTACGTATGTATGTATTCATACGTATATATGTATGCATGTACGTAGCTATACAGCAAATGTACATGTACGTACACTCACACGTATGTACGAAATAGCATCACCGAAGCCCCGAAGCAATGAAGCCCCGAAACACTGGAAGCCCCAAAGCCCCAAATCCCCGAATCACGAAAAGTTTCGAAACCCCAAGGTCACCCAAATCCCCGCAGACTCGAAACCCCGAAACCCCAAAACCTCGAATCCCTCCAACCCCCCCCCCCCAAGCCCCAAACCCCAAAGCCACGAATCCCTCCGAATCCCTACCCCCCCCCCCCTCCCGAAACCCCGGAGCCTCGAATCTCCCCCGAATCCCTACCCCGCCCCCTCCCAAAACCCCGAAACCTCGAATCCCTCCATACTCCCCGAAACCCCCGAAACCTCGCACCCCCCACCTTCCCCCCTTCCCCCACCCCCGAAGCTTCGAACCTCCAAAGCCACCGCCCAAGAGACGCACAAGACCCGGAGGCTCGAAGCTTCTCGAAGGTTCTCGAAGCTCTTCATCCCGCCGCTGTTTGCTGATCGCCTTATTAACCCCAAATTAAGCCATTGCTGCGCCTCTTTCTTCCCTCACTTTATGAATACATAATTCCTTGACGTCGGAGGCATAAGCGGGGTGCGTTCGAGCGTAAAAGAGGATGAGGGATGAGGGGGAAGAGGAGAGGAAAGAAGGGAAGGGGGAAGAGGAGAGGAAAGAAGGGAAGGGGAAGAGGAGAGGAAAGAAGGGAAGGGGAAGAGGAGAGGAAAGAAGGGAAGGGGAACAGGAGAGGAAAGAAGGGAAGGGGAACAGGAGAGGAAAGAAGGGAAGGGGAAGAGGAGAGGATAGAAGGGAAGGGGAAGAGGAGAGGAAAGAAGGGAAGGGGGAGAGGAGAGGAAAGAAGGGAAGGGGAAGAGGAGAGGAAAGAAGGGAAGGGGAAGAGGAGAGGAAAGAAGGGAAGGGGGAAGAGGAGAGGAAAGAAGGGAAGGGGGAAGAGGAGAGGAAAGAAGGGAAGGGGAAGAGGAGAGGAAAGAAGGGAAGGGGAAGAGGAGAGGAAAGAAGGGAAGGGGAAGAGGAGAGGAAAGAAGGGAAGGGGGAAGAGGAGAGGAAAGAAGGGAAGGGGAAGAGGAGAGGAAAGAAGGGAAGGGGAAGAGGAGAGGAAAGAAGGGAAGGGGAAGAGGAGAGGAAAGAAGGGAAGGGGAAGAGGAGAGGAAAGAAGGGAAGGGGAAGAGGAGAGGAAAGAAGGGAAGGGGAAGAGGAGAGGAAAGAAGGGAAGGGGGAAGAGGAGAGGAAAGAAGGGAAGGGGGAAGAGGAGAGGAAAGAAGGGAAGGGGGAAGAGGAGAGGAAAGAAGGGAAGGGGGAAGAGGAGAGGAAAGAAGGGAAGGGGGAAGAGGAGAGGAAAGAAGGGAAGGGGAAGAGGAGAGGAAAGAAGGGAAGGGGAAGGGGGGAGGGGGTAAAGAGAAGGGGTAAAAGAGGGTAAAGGGAAGGGGAAAAGAGGGTAAAGAGAAGGGGGAAAGAGGGTAAAGGGAAGGGGGAAAGAGGGTAAAGAGAAGGGGGAAAAGAGGGTAGAGGCAAGAGGAAAAGAGGGTAAAGGGAAGGGGAAAAGGGGAGAAGAGGAAAGGGGTAAGAGCTGAAAGAAGAGAGGAAAGGAAAGAGGGAAGGAAGGGGAAGAAAGACAAAGTAAAAAGACATAAGGAGAAGGGAGATGGGAGAAGGAAAACAGGAAAGAAGAGATGAGTGGAGTGGAGGCGAAGGAGAGACGAGATGAGAAAAGGAAAAGAAAGGCAAGGGGAAAGAAGGAAGGAAGAAAAAAGGAGAAAGGAAAGCTTAGGGGAGGAGAGGAGAGAAGAGAGAAAGGAAAGAGAGAATAAAGAAAGAGTAAAGTAAAGACAGAAGAAGAGAAAGAATAGGGAGAGAGAAGAAAGAAAGAACTGGCGGAAGAGGAGATATGTGGACAACAAGGAAAGATAATGAAAATGAAATATAATGAAATATAGTAATAATAATGATAATGATAACAACCACCAACCATCACCATCATCATCATGGCAACACCACCAGAAAACAACAATACGAATAAGGGAATAAACAGATAAACCGATAACAGAGAGAGAGAGAGGAACGACGAACGCAAAACCACACACTCCGCTGTTGACTCCACGAGAGGCATCCACAATGGACTTATCAGGTGCATTTGAAAGATGAGACGCCAGTTTCGAGACCGAGCTGGATTCTGTTTCCAGGTTTGAAGAGCACTGCGTTATTCTTGCATATTTTCCTTCTTTTTCTTGCTCTCGCTCTCGCTCTCTGTCTCTGTCTCTATCTCTCTCTTTCGCTCTTTCGTCTTTTTCTTCTCTCCCTTTCTCTCTCTCTTTCGTCTTTTTCTTCTTTCCCTCCCTCCCTCTCTCTCTCTCTCTCTCTCTCTCTCTCTCTCTCTCTCTCTCTCTCTCTCTCTCTCTCTCTCTCTCTCTCTCTCTTCCTAGCGAAGGAGAAAAATCGGCAAAAGAAGAGAAAAAGGATGCAAGATGGCGAGAGATACAAACAATCGATGTGACGCAGAGAAACTGACTTTCACCACATCCTGGTTGCACAATAATCCCACGATCATAAATACAAACCATTTAAATACAACAAAATCACGCTTTTTTTTCCCTGTTTGTGAATATGGCGTGTGTTTTCCTGGTCGTGATCAAAGCAGCTGACTGTTCGCATTGACGTCACTTAAGGCTGTGGCCGACGTTACGTAATATACGTGTTTTCTATACATCACAATAGGTATATTGGCAGGTAGATTGGTAGGTAGGTAGATAGAGGTAGATAAAGAGATAAATAGAGATAGAACGAAAGAGAAAGAGGGATAGAGCGAAAGAGAAACAGAGATAGAGAGAGATGAATATAAAGAGATAAATATAAAGATATAAAAATAGA